GGGCAGTTGGAGGCAGTCGCCCTCCAACAACAACAGAGGGCGGAGGAGCGACGCTCACAACAACGAGCGGAGCGCCGGGTGGCTAAAACACAGCAGGTTGGCACAGTAGGGGGCACAGGTGGTGCACCAGCCAGTCATCTCAGTCATCTTAGTCAGTCGACCCGTGGCACCTGGGTCTGCCCCGTGACCTCCTGCCAGCGGGCGTTCGACACTTCACGTGGCCTCAAGGTGCACATGGCCTGGCACAAGCGTCGTGGTGACGTCACCACCACTTAGTGACGAATGGCGGTTGTTGTAAGTGTATGTGTGAGTGAGTGTGTGAGTGAGTGTGTGAGTGTGTAAGTGTATGAGTGTGTGTGTGTGTATGTGTGTGTGTATATATGAGTGTGTGTGAGTGTGTGAGTGTGTGTATGAGTGTGTGTAAGTGTATGTGTGTGTATGTGTGTGTATGAGTGTGTGTAAGTGTATGTGTGTGTATGTGTAAGTGTATGTGTGTGTAAGTGTGTGTGTATGAGTGTATGTGAGTGTGTGAGTGTGTAAGTGTATGTGTGTGTGTATGAGTGTGTGTAGGTGTGTGTGTGTAGGTGTGTGCGTGTAGGTGTGTGTAGCTGTTAGCGCGCTACGCTATGAACCTGGCGACCCGGGTTCGATTCCCGCTCACGGCCAACATCAGTTATCTGAACCGGTCCCGGGCCTCCCCTAGGTCGACTCAGCCTCAAATGAGTACCTGGTGCGGTGAGTAAACATCGCCACTGGGGAGACAAAGGCGGTCGAGCGTGGTGCTGGCCACCCACCCCCTCGTGTACCGTTCTGGCCTTCATAGGTGCTCGCTAACAGCACTTGCCCCTACAGTCTGTTAAGGCTATATGGGGGATCTTTTTTGTGTATGAGTGTGTGTGTGAGTGTGTGAGTGTATGTGCGTGTATGAGTGTGTGTAAGTGTATGTGTGTGTATGTGTGTGTGTATGAGTGTGTGTAAGTGTATGTGTGTGAATGTGTGTATGAGTGTGGGTGAGTGTGTAAGTGTATGTGTGTGTATGAGTGTGTGCAAGTGTATATGTATGAGTGTGTGAGAGTGTGTGAGTGTGTAAGTGTATGTGTGTGTGTGTATGAGTGTGTGTAAGTGTATGTGTTGTGTATGTGTGTATGAGTGTGCGTATGTGTGTGTGAGTGTATGTGTGTGTGTATGAGTGTGTGTAAGTGTATGTGTTGTGTATGTGTGTGTATGAGTGCGTGAGTGTGTGTAAGTGTATGTGTGTGTATGTATGTGTATGAGTGTGCGTATGTGTGTGTGTGAGTGTATGTGTGTGTGTATGAGTGTGTGTAAGTGTATGTGTTGTGTATGTGTATGAGTGTGTGAGTGTGTGTAAGTGTATGTGTGTGTATGTATGTGTATGAGTGTGCGTATGTGTGTGTGAGTGTGTGAGTGTATGTGTGGGTGTATGAGTGTGTGAGAGTGTGTAAGTGTATGTGTGTGTGTATGAGTGTGTGTAAGTGTATGTGTTGTGTATGTGTGCGTGTGTGTATGAGTGTGTCAGTGTGTGTAAGTGTGTGTATGTATGTGTATGTGTGTGTGAGTGTGTGTGTGTGAGTGTATGTGTGTGTGTATGAGTGTGTGTAAGTGTATGTGTTGTGTATGTGTGTGTGTATGAGTGTGTGTAAGTGTATGTGTGTGTATGTATGTGTATGAGTGTGTGTGTGAGTGTGTGAGTGTATGTGTGGGTGTATGAGTGTGTGTCAGTGTGTGTGTTGTGTATGTGTGCGCGTGTGTATGAGTGTGTGAGTGTGTGTAAGTGTGTGTATGTATGTGTATGAGTGTGTGTATGTGTGTATGAGTGTGTGAGTGTGTGTGTGAGTGTGTGAGTGTATGTGTGGGTGTATGAGTGTGTGAGAGTGTGTAAGTGTATGTGTGTGTGTATGAGTGTGTGTAAGTGTATGTGTTGTGTATGTGTGCGTGTGTGTATGAGTGTGTGAGTGTGTGTAAGTGTGTGTATGTATGTGTATGAGTGTGTGAGTGTGTGTGTGGGTGTATGAGTGTGTGTCAGTGTGTAAGTGTAAGCACAGTGTAATTCAACATGGATCATGCTCAGGAATTCCGCTCGGCGAGTCTGAACAGGCGGACTCTAGCGTGACCTCTGTGTGTGTGTAGGTGTGTGTAGGTGTGTGTAGGTGTGTGTAGGTGTGTGTGTGTAGGTGTGTGTGTGTGTCTGTGTCTGTGTGTGTGTGTCTGTGTCTTGTGGGGAGCGATAGTGTAGCGGTTAGCGCGCTGCGCTATGAACCTGGCGACCCGGGTTCGATTCCCGCTCACGGCCAACACCAGTGACGATTATCTGAACCGGTCCCGGCCTCCCCTAGGTCGACTCAGCCTCAAATGAGTACCTGGTGCGGTGTGTAAACATTGCCACTAGGGAGACAAAGGCGGTCGGGCGTGGTGCTGGCCACCCACCCCCTCGTGTACCGTTCCGGCCTTCATAGGTGCTCGCTAACAGCACTTGCCCCTACAGTCTGTTAAGGCTATACGGGGAATCTTTGTTTTTATTTTTGTGTAGGTGTGTGTGTGTAGGTGTGTGTGTGTAGGTGTGTGTGTGTAGGTGTGTGCGTAGGAGTGTGTGTAGGTGAGTGTGTAGGTGTATGTGTGTAGGCGTATGTGTGTGTAGGTGTGTGTGCGTGTGTAGGTGTGTGTGCGTGTGTAGGTGTGTGTGTGTAGGTGTTTGTGTAGGTGTGTGTGTAGGAGTGTGTGTGTAGGTTAGTGTGTGTGTAGGTGTGTGAGTGTGTAGGTGTGTGTGTAGGTGTGTGTGTGTATAGGTGTGTGTGTGTCTAGGTGTGTGTGTGTGTAGGTGTGTGTGTGTAGGTGTGTGTTTGTGTAGGTGTGTGTGTAGGTGTGTGTGTGTAGGTGTGTGTGTGTAGGTGTGTGTGTGTGTAGGAGTGTGTGTGTGTAGGTGTGTGTGTGTTGGTGTGTGTGTGTAGGAATGTGTGTGTGTAGGTGAGTGTGTGTAGGTGTGAGTGTGTAGGTGTGTGTGTGTGTGTAGGTGTGTGTGTAGGTGTGTAGGTGTGTGTGTGTGGGTGTGTGTGTGTGTGTGTAGTTGTGTGAGTGTGTAGGCGTGAGGGTGTAGGTGTAGGTGTGAGTGTGTAGGTGTGTGTCTGTAGGTGTGTGTGTAGGTGTGTGTGTGTGTGTAGGTGTGTGTGGGTGTGTGTGTGTGTGTAGGTGTGTGAGTGTGTAGGCGTGAGTGTGTGTGTGTAGGTGTGTGAGTGTGTAGGCGTGAGTGTGTAGGTGTGAGTGTGTAGGTGTGTGTGTGTAGGTGTGTGTGTGTGTGTGTAGGTGTAGGTGTGAGTGTGTGTAGGTGTGTGTCTGTGTGTGATTGTGTGCGGAGCGGTTAGCGCTACGCTGCGCTCCGAACCTGGCGACCCGGGTTCGATTCCCGCTCACGGCCATCACCACCGGTGACGATTTTCTAAACCGGTCCTGGGCCTCCCCTAGGTCGACTCAGCCTCAAATGAGTTACCTGGTGCGATGTGTAGTAAACATCGCCGCTGGGGGAGACAAAGGCGGCCGGGCGTGGTGGTTTCCTGCCCACCCACCCCCTCGTGTGCCCGCACGTGCCGGCAATCCTTCAGCACTTGCCCCGACAGTCTGTTAGAGGCTACACCGGGGGAGCACTTTTGCCTTTGCCTCTATCGTGCCCCCCACCACCACCCCCCCCCCCACCCCCCACCATAGTCCGGTAGGGGCTGTTCGATTTGGGGAAAAAATATCGAATTGCGATTGACAGATCGATTGCGATTTGCGAATAACATAAAAATGTAAACTCAAGTTTCAGTTCAATATTCACTGCCTTATAGATTTAATAACACGTGACGGAGCATTACCACGTGATACCTTTAACATGTGAACTGCTCTGGGTGTTATGACGCGAAGGCGAGGACTTATAGGATAAGTATTGCTTCCGAAGTGCATTCATTAAAATGTCTCCATTGAAAAAGAGCAATCGAACGCGGAACAATCGTCAAGTTGAAAATCAAAACAGTCGTGATAATAGAAGAAAAATAATAACAATTCCAATATTAAAGTAACGGGGATTTTTCAAATCGCAAAAAAAAAAATCGAAGCCTTTGCGATTTGCCCATATCATCGTTTCAGATTCCGATTTCGATTTGAAATCATATATCGATTTGAAATCGATTAATCGTTCAGCCCTACCCCCCCTCCCCCCCCAAAGACACATATCCCCCCCGTATAGCCTTAACAGACTGTAGGGGCAAGTGCTGTTAGCGAGCAGCACCTATGAAGAGCTGGGTGGCCAGCACCACGCCCGACCGCCTTTGTCTCACCAGTGGCGATGTTTACACATTGCACCGGGTAACTCATTTGAGGCTGAGTAGACCTAGGGGAGGCCCAGGAACGGTTCAGATAGTCGTCACCGGTGGTGTTGGTGGCCGTGAGCGGGAATCGAACCCCGGGTCGTAGCCGGGTTCGTAGCGCAGCGTAGCGCTAACCGCTGCACCACCGCTCCCCACCCACCCACCGACTCACTCACCCACGCACCCACTCACTCACCCACCCACGCACCCACTCACTCACCCACCCACCACCGACTCACTCACCCACCCACCCACCGACTCACTCACCCACCCACCCACGCACCCACTCACTCACCCACCCACGCACCCACTCACTCACCCACCCACTCACTCACCCACCCACGCACCCACTCACTCACCCACCCACGCACCCACTCACTCACCCACCCACGCACCCACTCACCCACACACACACCCACACCCCCACCGATTCACTCACCCACCCATCCACCGACTCACCAACCCACCGACCCACTGACTCACCCACTCACCGACTCACCAACCCACCGATCCACTCACCCACCGACCCACTCACCCACCCACTCACTCACCCACCCACCGACTCACCCACCCACCCACCCACCGACTCACTCACCCACCCTTTGTGCCAGGCTAGGTGCACACCGGCCACGCCGCGCTCACCTCCGGCGAGGCAGGCGGGCAGGAGGAGTCTGAAGGCCAACCCGCACACCACCTGGGTAGCCATCGTCCCCTCGAGTGCTCGCCCAGACACGTGGGGACGCCGCCTCCAGCGAGCGGGTGATGCCCTTCAGCCACTCGGGCTCGCCTCGTCCGATGGCGCCAACGCTGGGTTCATCGTCGGTGCCAGGCCCCGGCCAGGAAACGAGGAGCAGAGGAGGAGGTTGAGGAGGTTGAGGAGGGACCGAGAGCACCACAGGCCGCCTTCAGGAGCTTTCGATTGATGAAACTCAGGCTGCCAACTCGCCGAGGCCACGTGCACGTGAGGATCGTGTTCGTCTCTGTCTCTCTGTCTCTGTCTCTCTCTCTCTCTGTCTGTGACTCTCTCTCTGTCTCTGTCTCTCTCTGTCTCTCTCTCTGTCTCTGTCTCTCTCTGTCTCTCTCTGTCTGTCTCTCTCTCTGTCTCTCTCTGTCTCTCTCTCTCTCTGTCTCTCTCTCTCTGTCTCTCTCTCTGTCTCTCTCTCTGTCTCTCTCTGTCTTTCTCTCTGTCTCTCTCTCTGTCTCTGTCTCTCTCTCGGGGTGGTGGTGGTGGTGGTTATTGTGATGATGATGATGCCAGGAGGACGATGATGATGATGCTAGGAGGATATGATGCTAGGAGAAGATGATGCCAGGAGGAGATTCCAGGATGAGATGATGATAGGAGGAGATGATTCTAGGAGGAGATTCCAGGATGAGATGATGCCAGGAGGAGATGATGCCAGGAGGAGATGATGCCAGGATGAGATGATGTCAGGATGAGATGATGCCAGGAGAGATGATGCCAGGAGGAGATGATGCCAGGAGGAGATGATGCCAGGAGATGTCCCAACACAGCAGCAGCAGCAGTAGCAGCAGGTCGCGTCAATCTCTCTCCTCTCTCACAACGCCAACCTCAGTGCAGACTTCCAGCAACACCACGGCACACGGAAGATGACTCTACACAACCCCCTCCTCTCTCCTCTTCTCTCTCCTCTTCTCTCGCCTCTTATCTCTCTCTTCTCCTTCGCCCTCTCCTCCTCCTCCTCGTCGTCGTCGTTGTCGTCGTCATCAACTTCGTGAAGGAGGCTCCAGGTGGAAGTGTCCGTCCACAAGCCTCGCCTCCATGTGCCGGGAGCAGTGGTGGTGGTGTGGTGGTGGTGTGGTGGTGGTGGTGGTGTGGTGGTGGTGGTGGTGGTGGTGGTGGTAGTGGTGTGGTGTGGTGGTGGTGGGGGTGGGGTGGTGGTGGGGGGGTGGTGGTGTGGTGGTGGTGGTGGTGTGGTGGTGGTGGTGGTGTGGTGGTGGTGTGGTAGTGGTGGTGGCTAAAACGAGACTTTCATGGTCACGGCCACCACCTCGTGCTGCTGCTGCTGCTGATGTCACCAACTCCTCCAACCTGCCACCATCACCACCAACAACAACAACAACCGACAACAACCACGATTACCACCACCCACTATCACCACCACCACCAACCACCAACCACTACCACCACCACCAACTTGACCCACGAGTTACAAAGTCGCCCTCCCCCACCCATCAAACAGAAGCAAGCAAACAACAACAACACAACAAGAACAACAACACAGCAACAAGAACAACAACAAGACCACAACAACAACACAGCAACAACAACAAGAACAACAACAACAACCAGACGATGATGGTGATGATGAATGCTATTTGACTTCTGTGAAAGCTTCTCACTGATGTGGCGACAAGCTTCAACTGCTTCAACTGCTTCAACTGCTTCCAATGCTGCTACTTCTAGTGCTGCTGCTACTTCTACTGCTTCAACTGCTGCTACTTCTACTGCTTCAACTGCTGCTGCTTCTACTGCTGCTGCTTCTACTGATTCAACTGCTGCTGCTTCTACTGCTTCAACTGCTTCAACTGCTTCTACTGCTTCAACTGCTGCTGCTTCTACTGCTTCTACTGCTGCTGCTTCTACTGCTGCTGCTTCTACTGCTTCAACTGCTTCAACTGCTGCTGCTTCTACTGCTTCAACTGCTTCTACTGCTTCCAATGCTGCTACTTCTACTGCTTCTACTGCTGCTGCTTCTACTACTGCTGCTTCTACTGCTGCTGCTTCTACTGCTGCTGCTTCTACTGCTTCAACTGCTTCAACTGCTTCCAATGCTGCTGCTTCTACTGCTTCTACTGCTGCTGCTGCTGCTTCCACTGCTTCTACTGCTTCAACTGCTTCAACTGCTGCTGCTTCTCCTGCTGCTTCTACTACTGCTGCTTCTACTGCTTCCACTGCTTCTACTTCTACTGCTTCAACTGCTTCCAATGCTGCTGCTTCTACTGCTGCTACTGCTGCTTCCACTGCTTCTACTGCTTCTACTGCTTCCACTGCTGCTGCTTCTACTGCTTCTACTACTGCTGCTGCTGCTTCCACTGCTTCTAGTGCTTCAACTGCTGCTTCTCCTGCTGCTTCTACTACTGCTGCTTCTACTGCTTCCACTGCTGCTGCTTCTACTACTGCTGCTTCTATTGCTGCTTCTTCTACTGCTTCTACTGTTGCTGCTTCCACTGCTGCTTCTACTGCTTCCACTGCTTCTGCTGCTTCTATTGTTGCTGCTTCTTCTGCTGCTGCTTCTACTGCTGTTGCGTCTACTGCTTCTACTTCTACTGCTTGTACTGCTGCTTCTACTGCTGCTGCTGCTTCTACTGCTGCTGCTGCTGTTGCCTCTACTGCTTCTGCTGCTTCTACTGCTGCTGCTTCTACTGCTGCCCCTACGACACCTCGGCAGGTATCAGCGGAGATGCAGCAGCAGCCACCAGATGGAGGATGATGGAGGAGGATGATGATGGTGATGATGGTGATGATGGTGATGATGGAGAATGATGGTGATGATGGTGATGATGGTGATGGAGAATAATGATGGTGATGATGGTGATGGAGAATGA